CTAACTACACACAACACACACACACACACACACACACACACACACACACACACACACACACACACACACACAAAAAGGGTTAAATTCATCAGGTAATTTACTTAAAGTGGATGATTTGTCCAGCTGTAGTCTCTTTGATATCAGACTGTTTTATTAAGATGTATCTGTGTTTGAATTTTATGGAACCTTTATCAAATGGGAAGCCATTTTTCAGAAACTTGAAAATTTCTGTGCACTAGAAACAAAATTTCAGACTGCTTTTTCAAATTTTGCACTGGGTTAGCTGGTCTTCATTGTTGCCGCATGATATTGGCCCTGTTTTCCTGACTGGATGAGTCTACCCTAGGCAGTCAGCAGGACAAATAGTTAAAGCCATTTTAATTAATTTCCTCAGATGGAGTGGCTGCATTTAGTATGTTCTCTCTCAGATGGCCAGCAACAATGGCTGTCGGTGGTGGTGGGGTGATCCATGTCCCTCCTGGCTGCAGTACAGTGGAGAGAGTAGATTATCTCCATCCCTTAGGATTATAGGCAGGCAGTGGTCCTGCTTAGCATTCCTCTTCAGAGGGAAGCACAGTTCTTGCTCCAAAGAAGATACAGAAGAAGGCAATAGTCCATCTTTCCGGCAGGAAGACACCATTATATAGGGTAGAGGGAGACTGCGTGTAGAGAGAGCTGTGAGAACTGGTGGGGTCCCCATAGGTTCCAATAAATAAGATTGTCCCTGTCCTTCTGGACACCTCAGTCATCTGCAGGGTCTTTGGAATCTGGCTGCATAATGGCAGGATGGGTCTGTCTTGCCAGGTGGACATTCAGAGTTTCTGGTCATTCAAAGCCTGTGTGATTTCACCCCGTACCCAGTAAGTAGTAACAGCACTAAAGCAATGGGAACCTGTTCTCATATAGGCCACCACCTGCTCCAATAGAGTGAAAAGACCTAGCTACTTCTTCCATCCTTAGGCCTGCCAAGGCCTTGATTCTTCAGCGTGGCTCTCTGTGTGATAAGTTTTTATAAGTGTATTCTCTATGTCATTATCTAAATAATTGATGAAGATATTGAACAGAACTGGACCCAGAACTGTTCCCTGAAGGACCCCACTTGATATGTGCTTCCAGCTTGATTGTGAATCACTGATTACTCTCTGGGAACAGTTTTCCAATCAGTTATGAACCCTCTGTATAGTAGCTGGGTTGTATTTTCCTAGTTTGTTTGAGAATGTTATGCGAGGTAATATCAAAAGCCTTACTAAAGTCAAGATATGAGTGTGATTGTGAGTGTGATTGTTTCCAACTGTGTTAATTTATCTTTCCTTTCCTTCTCTCCATAACCCAATATTGCCAAAGTGCCAAATTCTACTTCTGGGTAGAATTTCAAATATCTGTAGTTAAGAAATCACAAAATTTCCAGCTAACCCTGGGACTTTGTTTATCTGCAGAAAAATTTAGTACTGTTGAAATTTAATTAAAAGCAACATTTTGAGACCTCAGACAACTATGTGAGTTGGACTGGAGAAATATGTTGCACTAGTGGTGATCCATAATACTGGAAGGATGGTCCAGCAGTTAGGACATTAGCCTGAAGACTCAGGAGACCCGGGTTTAATTCCTAGCTCTGCTACAGACCTTGAGAAGTCACTTAGCCTCTCTGAGCTTCAGTTCCCCATCTATAAAATTAGGATAATAGCACTTCTCTACCTCAGAGGGGTGCTGTGAAGATGAATATATTAATGATTGTGAGGTGCTCAGTCACTCTAGCGATGAATATAAGTAACTAAGCTAGATCGCTGAAAGTCCCTTCTGTAGAAGTGGGCACTGCTTCCTGAGAGCCTGTCACTGATGCTGTAGGGATTTCTGCTTTTTCACTTCTGTATTATACAAATATATGTTTTAAACTCTGTACATCTCCCATCCGGAGCAGGAGGGTGGCTCCTGGTCTCCCCCCACCCACACACATACACACAGCAGTGCAGTCAATTGTAATGGTGTTACTGGCATAGGCCAGTAGCAGATTACTTAGCTCTCCCTGTCTACCCCCAGAGCAAGGGGCAAGCAAAGAAGGAACTGTGCCTCAGTGGGACGATTTGAGTCACAATGCCTCCTGGATACCCCTGCCATGGTTCCTGTACCATTACTTAGAAATGTGGGAACTGCTCTCTAACAACTTGCAGAACTCACTTATTCATTAGCCTACCTCAACCTTCTGAGAGCTCTGGGCAAGAGCTAAGCACAATCTGGTCTGTAATTTTTTTAGTTACTAACATGCTCAGTTGCCAATCCTAGGGACTGAAGTTTACAGATAAGAACATTATGGTCCCATGTGTCAAATGTCATTGAATAAGATACAGCATTTCAAGCATTGTGGAGAGGCAGGAAGAAAGTGAGGTCAAAGTCCTACTCTCCCTCATGAAGTCCTATGGTAGGGCCCATGGATTAGCAATCAAACTGGGATAAGGTTATGATATGGATACTCATACCTTCCCCAGAACCTATTGTGGCAACACCCATTATTAGATATGCTTGGTCCTTGCAGAGGGGATATAATTATTTATAGTGGGGTGCTAATCATGTTGCTCCAGATTTAAGGTTGCACAACTATTTCTATTTTAATCCTGTCGTTAGTTGCTTGCATCTTTCTGAAATATTCACTGTTGGAAGCTGACATTTCCCATAGTTGGTTTGTGCACAAATATGGTTTGGGAAGGAGAGGGTGGGAGTGGAAATTTGATCTGACAAACAACTTAGCCATTTTTGAATGGGGGGGGGAGAAAAGAAAGGAGAGAGCAAGCAAGAAAGAAAATACTTTTTCAGCAATAGCAAATTTCTTACAGCCTTTTAAAAACAATCCTAGTACCACAGTGGCTGAGATCTGCAACTTGACATCTGGCTTGAGGAACAGTGCAAGGCCTTGTTCCAAAGGAAACTGGTCTTGATTTGACCTAGTTAGGCACATTTGAAAACCACATACTGAGCACACATAGATTTGTTCACTCAGCTCATCAGAGGGCAAATCCTGTCCCTTCCTCCATAGATGTGGAGACTCCCTGGGCAGAGGGCCAGTGTAGTTCTGGGGTGCTCTACTGAGGCCCTGTACATGTCACTGTGGGGGGAGTGGAGGGGAGAGATATGGGTGGACCAGGAGACAGGGCCAAAAATTCACTATTGCCACAAAAGGGGGCAGCAGAGTCTACTCCAGCCTTTTGGTTAAATGAATCCCCCATAGGGTATGTTCAGATAGCATTATGGAGCAAGCTGCCCAACCTGGTCAAAAGTCTTGGGCTCGTGGGGCTCACTGTACAGACTGTGCTTTGAAGTGGCAGCTTGGACTGGAACTTGGGATCTGCAGACTTTGGATCCCTAAGCTGCAATTTCAAAGTGCTGTTTTTGGAGTGCTAGTGCAAGGCCTGCTAGCTCGAGTCACTTGATGCAGGCAGGGAGGCTCGCTCCAAAATGCTGTGTAAACATACTCCAAGAGAGGATTCCTCTCCCTCAAACTCCAGGCACATCTGCCCCAGACTGTATGCTAAGGACCATTTATGCACATGCAGCTTAACTGGCACGGCAGCCTATATTGCTGAAATCAATAGCAACAACTGAGACTGAGGGAAGGGAGCCTACTGACTTTTTAAGATGCACAGAGGCCCTGTCCTCAGGCCTAGGTCAATCTTGTAGGGCATAAAGAGGTCAAGGAATAACTTCTGCAGATATTGTACTGTGCGCAGGAGAAAATCCTGCTCTGAGCACCTTAGTGGGAACTGCTGTTATGCTTATAAAAACTCACAGAATCTTTTTCAGGGGACAAGGCAATACAACACGTTTATTTAAAACACTAAACAAGTATCAAAATCAATATATGTTTCTACATACACACACACACCACAAAGATTCTGCAGCCTGTGTTATAGTTCCCAGTCCTTATCGTTGCTCGAGTCAGCCTAGTGGCCAGCTAGACTGTACACAAGGAGGGAGCTGGGCCTCAAGTCGGACACGTCTGATGCTCTGTTGTTAATGCAGAACAAACCCAAAGCTCTGTTGTTCTCACCCATCTTTTATAATAGTTAGTTCTCAAGCAAGTCTATGGGTCTTGCTTTTGTGTCATGCTTGCATTGTTTATCACAGAACTGGTTGTATACATAACCATCTTTCACCTTCTTATCTGGCATTTTGTTCTTGTTTTGGGGCAGATACTTTTGTACTTTAGGGTTGTTAATCTGCACTTTTTGGCCAACAGGACAAGATAATATTGACGTCTTCATTTCTTCACTCCCTCTTTGGTGATTATGCCCATCCGCTGCTGGCATCTCTTCTTATTTACTCACACACTTGCATCCTCACACACACAAAGAATGGCTAAACAATTTTCTAACAAGCAATTAAAGGGAACAGCAAAGGGAACAGTTAAACAATCTTTTAACAAGCAGACTATACTTGTAACAAAACAAAATTATTTTAAAGCAAAATAATTTCATATTACAATTTTAGCTTATAAAACAAGACAACTACTGACAACAAATTGGAACAACTTACTAGATTAAGACAACTCTAACATTTGCTAACATAATATTGTTTCTCACACTGCAGCCCTTTAGCACCTCTGAAAAATCAGACTACTTTTATGCAGAAACCTAGATATAACTTTTGGTGTTGAACTCAAGTCTGAAAATGTTTGCCTAATTTACGAAGGAAAGGGGGGAAAATGGGAAGGAAAGGAACAAGAAAGTATCCTGGACATCCTCTGACAACATTGCAAAATCAGGGGGTTTCAGACGAGGTCACCTGTAGTGTGTCATACTTCTCCTAAAAGTAGCATTGTGTATGTTTTGTGGAAAATCAGAGGATGTTATAAACTGTGAGTCATGCCACTGTTGACTTTACAGAGCAGCCAAGTGATATATATACCAGGACACTGAAGAGACATGCATAGAAAAGTTAGAGACTGAGAGATTTTGTTAAACTAGTGACAGGAAAAAGAAGCGATCTTGAAAATGAAGAGTCTTTCATTCCAGATCTTACTTTGTGTAGCATTTTCTTATGCTTTACCACTAGTTCCAGAAACAGAGAAGAAAAATGAAGAAGACATGCAATTTGCTGAGGTAATGACTGTAGACAGTATATATGCATAAAGCTGATAGGAAGAATTAGTCTTTTATCATATTAAGATCACAGCAATAACTATATAATT